GTAACAAAGTACACATAAACTTCATAGATTTGGTTAAATTTGTAGCCTCCACAAACATTCCCAATGTACATCACTATGGGTTTATAACCAGATACAGATATTGAAAAAATCAAAGTTCCTGGACAATTATGAGACACAAATACAGATACACTTGAGCTACACCTTCGGACCTCCCCATTTGACCTATCCATCGTGTCCAAGACTTGTAGTTGCTATGGCATCCGAGAGAAAGTAGGCTGTTAATTAATAAGGTCATTCATGAGATCCCAGCGACAGTACAGACAATAAAACACTTTTCTGAAATGCTATAGTTTCCAAATCGCATCAAACAATAAATCATTTTGTGATACAGAAAGGAATCTAGGATTAATTTCTTCGGCTTCATTGACGCTCATAATCACATTACTGGTGTATAAGTGATTAAGCGAAAGGAATAATCAGTAGAAGCTCTTACAAGCATTTAGCTATTAACAGTCCAAAAACTTAGGTTGCCTGGCAACATAAAGAAAAGTACTACATGATCCAAATGGTAAGTTGGCAGTTGTACTAATCCAAAAGCGGAATCTGTCTCAAAAAAGAAAGGAATTGAAATGTAATACCTGGACATTTTAAGAAATGCAGTCAGTGAGACAAAGCTATTTTTTTTCAGAAATGCAGTCATTATATAGAGCTGAAGACTATTGCTTGATAACATAGTTGCAATTGAATGGAATAAACTTTGAGCGAAACTATGACTTTATAATTTAGGTAAGCATGGCCAATTATTTCTGCTAAATTGCAAGAAGCATTATAAGCAAAGCAAACATGTAAGGCGTAATTAACACTCCTCCGCACGATACATACTCAAAGACGAGTCCAGGGATTGATGCATCGATATTTACTCATGCGTTATAACTGTGTACAAATGCTTATACTCAGAAGTTGAGGCTGAAGCTTATATTGCCTTGCTATCATCACAAATATTTTATTTCCGAGGCATGGACAAAATAATATTGCTAATGTAACTACTCTTGTACTTACATTAGAAATGTGTCTCAATCTATTAGAATTGATTATCACTATTCATTAGGAAATACTCCCTTGGTGTCAAAAAATGTCTTATATTTTGATACAGAGGGGGTACTATGCAACATTTTCTTCGCAATTTCAAATGGCCACCAAACAAGGGAAATTTCAAATTGATAAGAGAGATATAAAATATGTAGTTACGTATAAAACAGAAGGGTGCCTTCTGAAATGTCAACTGAAAGTCACCCAATGATGTTGAGAAGAATTTATAGTGCAGAGTTTGATTCCTTCACTGAACAAAAGGGGCAAGCATTTGATATGATCTTTGCTGCGTTGAGTTGACTCCAAATTTCACCAATTCAATACACACTCTTACGTTTTCAACTTTGGTATCTGATATTGCACTACTTCACTATATATTCAGTTGACTTTCTGAATTACTTACACAAGCTGAAATACAAACATGTACATTGCATCTGATAAATCACTAAAAGCCTACAGTACATGGCTTTTACACCACAAGAATAATATATTTTTTCTATTCTAACTATCACAAAATAGAGATGCTTACATCCCACATCAAGCAAGAACTAAGAAATCAAGAGCTGCTCACGCTGAGCTACAAATTGGCAAACTACATGGAGTTTTGTTCACCAGAAGTTCATCCATAATTAAGTAAAGAGAAGAAAGCTTGCAATACCTCATGGAGGGATGGTACCTGGCACTGGTGCAGTAATGAGGCATCTCCACCAGAAACTTGACAGGGAGCACGAGGAAGCCATGGAACTCCGACCCCACTACAAACCTCCCCATGGCCACGATCTGCTGCCATTTCTGCACATCCACCTTCTCCCGACGCCATCCTTCTTTCCCATGTAACAGCCACACGAATCTCCTGTTGCCGCTCTCTTTTTTGTGCAAAGCACGTGAGACCATACTATTTCATCAAATTTTGCAAGTGTACATTACAGTTATATCATGATTATCATTCATGAAAGTTTTCAACAATTACAACGTTTGAAAGGAGCAACAGAGAGTGACAATATTATTGCTGCACACAACCAATATTACTTCATAAATTTTGTGGCAATTACCTTCTAGGTAAATAAGTGCGAGATGCATTATATTGACTGATATGAACATACTCGCGAATAAAAATTGTTACAGACTACAGAAATTGTGGTCAACGAAAAAATTGCTACAGAGGTTAGCAGATGAAATACAAAACATGTAGAAAGAAAGTCAATCTTCATGTATATTCTTGTTTGTATCTACTGCAAATAAACTTGGTGTAGTACTGTTTAAATTGCTGAGAATAAATGTGCCTCTTACCTAGAGTTAGCATTCAGATAAATTGAACAATATCGATAATTTTAACTTGTAGAATAGAAAAACTCCATATCAAATTTAGGTGTTGAGCATTTATCTAGCAGTGCAATTGTCTCTTTGCCAGGAAAAACACCTTATCATTCAAATATAAATGAGGTCTGCTCCTTTTTGTAATGCACAGAAGTTGGAAGACCGTTACTAAAAGGATATTACTCCCTCTGTAAAGAAATATAAGAGCATTTAGATCACTAAAGTAGTGATCCAAACGCTCTTATATTTCTCTACGGAGAGAGTACATGAGAAGCTAGTCCCAGGTAAATAAGCCACAACATGATACTTCTGATAATATGGTTGCAAGAAACTGTCAGCAGCATGAAATCTAGCATGTCCACACGATTAACATAACCAATATACTGTAGATGCGCTCAATGCTGAGTATTAATTGTCGTGGCTGCTCTAGAACAGTTTCTTGCAGACCATACTTCATAATTTATAAGGGATGCAGATTTCAACAACAAAAACTATAGGTCTCTCAGTAAAACAGAGAAAAAGAAAAGGTTAATTAATCTACCAGAAAATCATGATGACCAGAACACATTTGCAGAGCATACCGCAATTAATGATTGAGATGTGCATATACATTATACGTTGCTTGAGGAATACTAACGACAAAAAGGATAATTACAAAAAAAAATAGTTTTCCTAGGATTGTGAGCGTAACAGTTAAGTGCTCCCCTGTAATTTTTGGAGCAACAATTTACATATTTTTAGTGCATATGTTGAGAAACATTTGAGATCATTTCTAGCTTTACCATATTACCAGTTGATTGAACGAAATCCTCAAAATTCTTCTCTAGAATTGAAGGATTGGAACGTTAGCAATTCAACAAACAAAGCACATTGCCCAGCATCCGAAATAAGTAGGAACCGGAGAAATAGAGAAGAATCTGAACTGGACAGACAAAGTGAACTTTTGCATAATTATATGTTGGCTGGATGTACTAATACAACGCTACAGGTCGAACCCGCCTTCAGAGTTCAATTACAGTTCGGTCCGGCAGCTTGCACAGCATGTGCATGATAATATGGTGTGTATTTTCAAGCTTGCTCAAACTGACCTTGCACTGCAGACTCGTCCTCTCCTTTGTTTGCTGCATCGCCGAAGAGACAGCCCAGGAAGTGCGACAAAAAGAAAAGTTGTCTGAGAATGAATCACAGTTCTACTTCTCGGAAATTGAATTAACCCCAAATGAGCCATATCCAATTTCTAATCCGTCTGAGAGAGAGCAGGGGTAGGATGGGATGCAGACCATGGCCGGTTAAGGAAGATGGCCGCGACAGACATTCCCGCCTAGCACCGTCGGAGTGCGTCATGGGCGGCGGTGGCGAGGGCCTTGTTGGCCTCCTGCAGCTCCCCCCACCGCCTGCTCCTTCAGGCTCCATGTGTCGCTGTCAGTTGGCCATTGACTCGTCGCTGCAGTTGAGAGAGATTGAAAATACAGCAGGCAATTTATCAAACACCTAGCTGGCACATACGGGATGATAGCATGTCCAATCAAAATCTCTAGCCAAAATAGAACGACACCAAGAGGGCAGAGAAGATGGAAGGCTCACCAGGCCAAGACCGTCCGGCCCGTGGGATGGAGCAGGAAGCAGGTGCAACACACGAAGACATGGGTGATGCGGCGGCAGATCACGGACAGAAGGACGACATTCCACCTGAAAGTCGGCGCCTCCTCTCCAACGACCACCTCGCCCAAATCGATCCTCACCCAAGATGCCAAGCACCGGTGGTTGACCTCCTCCCCCAAATCAGCCCTCCTCTC